TCTGTTGTCGCCATCTACTACCTGGAACCATCGTCATTTGCGGGCGCGACGTCGCACGCGACGCCCACCAGCGCGGTGAATTACGATTCTCTTGTCACATACCCGTGCCGTTCGAACTCTGGTGGTTTGGCGCTCTCTGAGGCTGAGCACGAGGAGAGGAATCAATCACCACTTCAGTGGTAGGCGCGGAAGATATTCGGGCAGCTGCTTGTCTCTATTTCAGCACCGGTAACCTGCTCCACTTAGCTTATCATCATGTTCTTTTTTCAGTAGGAACCAGTTAAGCTAAGGGCCCTGAGGAGTTTGACCAACTTTCGAATCATTCCGCTAGCGTTCGCGTGGGCGGAGTCACTCTGTCCCCTTCTCAATGGTGTGTCCCGCAGAAGATGGAAAGGAGATCAATTAGCAATGCGCGATAACGAAAGTGATTCCGTCACGATCAGCTTTAAATCTAATTCCAAGCTCGTCGATTGGTCTAATTTCAAAATAAAATTATTTACTCACCATTAGATCATCAGTTTTCGAGGCAGACAGTGCAACTTCAATGATGAGAGCTTCAGCATCTCGCATCCCAATCGAATCATCAGTGAAGATACGCTGAGCGATACGATCCCAAATCGCGGACTCTTCTCGAGAGCATAACCATCTTATTATATAGCGAAGAAGAGTTGTCTCCTTAACATATAACAGAAGGTGCTGCTTCTAAATCCTCAAAGTTAAAAGGCCACCGTACCATAATGACGATTGTGCGACTCTTAGCGATTAACAGTGATAACACTCGCAAATCCACATCTTTTCCGGCCACTATTGAATCGTACACATGTTGCAGAGCAGCTGTCAGTGCTGAGCACAGTGAGCTCTTGAATAATCGTTTTTATCGCAAGAATACTAAGTTATGGGCAGAAATTTCAACCTCGAGCGGGACCTAAACCGGCCCCTCACCCTCTGTGCGCGTTATTCTCTAGACCACCGAGGCTGCCTCTTACCCTCTGAGTTTAAAGGCAGTTGGCACAATAAATCCCTAAGACAAGCAGGATTGATACGCCTTGCAGGATTGAATTTCGCGACCCTGAGCAGACCCTACGTAGCGCTTTCCAAAAATGGTACTCTTATAAGGGCCCATCAAGTTACAACATACCGACCCGAACGCCCACCACGCCCGCCCACCCACAAATGGACGACGTTCCTGATGCTCGTATTGCTTCATTTGCCCAAGTAAATTATGAAGCGAAAGGATTGGTATGAAGCGGCTGCAGTGCCTTGCCATGGATGTATGAGCACAGACATGCATCCGTATTTTGCGTAGCGGTTATTGGCAAGATGCCTCTGGGAAACTCGTCCGAAAGTGCTTACTGAATCAATAAAACGAAGACTTGGTGGTCTTCGCAGGTTTATGGACTTTCAGCCGTTTTTCGCCATCTCCCCAACTATCAGAAGAAGGAACGTGAGCTTAGTGACAACTGCCCCATTTCTGTACATTTGAAAACACCCTCCCCTTTTTCTGGCTTTATCATCATGATTGCCCTTACATTAGACCTCTCCTCAATCAAATTTCTTTTGTAGGCCTCCGGAAAAGTCTTTTGGCATTAAATAACTTGGGTATGACGCCTCCCCCGATAACCTTAGATATTTGTCAAATTTCCCTCAAACATTGTTGCAATTCGCCATGCACACGGCCCCTCCTATATAACTGTTTTTTGTCCGTTAGAAAATCTACGGATCCGCCAGTTGGGAAGGAGCCAAATTGGATTTGCTTACTATACTTGATATCGTCGCAATCTGGCGAGGGTGTCAGGAGGCGTGGAATGGGCTCATTCGCGGTTGCTTTTTCTACCAGTCGTGGCCCATTTGGCAGGAAATAAACTAGAGGTAGGAAACACATGGGATACGCTCATTTCACTTCATTCCACGACTCTTGACACGCCCTGTCAGATCGCAGCGATATTAACTGATTGAAGATACCTCGATCACACGCAGGCTCTCGGGCGTCTTGAAATGTGTCCTGTCCTTGTTTGTTGCATTCAGTAGTTTCTCTCGGAGAAACACAAGAGAAGTGACGAATTCGGAGTACTTGTCATAGAGGAAATCTCAAAAAAAGAGTATACAGATCTTGACCACTCGAGAAAGGCACCGTTTCCTTATACGACTCCACTTTCCGAAATTTAGAATGAATTTTCACCAGAACATATTACCGGAAGCAGATATGGCCAGAAATCTGCTAAAAGGCGTAGTTCTGTCCCCACCAAACTGGCTAAGAATTGGCGTTAGGGGTCAGCAAACTCTTTGAACAGAATTTCACATCCTCTGGGGGCTAAAATGCCTGGCGTCGTGCTATAAACACTGGCATCGAAACAGGTCTGCGGTACTTATATACATTCCTTATCCCTGAGACAGAGTAGGCGTGAAATTTGGACATGGCATAGGATGGGTTACTCGTGGAGATATTTCAGTTCGAGACAACTGTCATCTTGTTCTGTGTTGGACAAAAGTATGGCGTTGGACAAAAGCATGGCAACGACTATCTCAAGATAAAAAATCACACCAAACACAGCCACCGACATGGTTAGTTGAAATACAGCGCCACGCCTATTGCATTCCGGGATCTCGAGTGTATAGTGTGGGTGTCTGGCATCCTTGCGCGAAACTGATGAGGTAATCTCATTCAAGAAAAAACAATCATCGGAAACACATGTCACCCAACCCAGCCCCAAAGACCAATTTCGGAAGAATTCGAGTCTGAATCTCGAAAAGTGTGTTAGGCTCCTGGAGGACAAATAGTTCCGAAATCGAATGATTCTTTGCAATCATACCATCAATTCCAGTGTTTGTCGTGTCCTTCAAGGTTTGCTCAAGGCGTTCCCGTATTGACAGTGTCAACCAATAGATGATACGATCAATTGAATCAGGAGATGAGAGCCCAGCAACCAGTACTGGGACTGCGTGTAAAGGGTTGGCAGCGGTAAAAGGGTTGGCAGCGGTAAAGCAGCTGTCAACATAGGAAGAAACCTTAAAGAAGAACAAGTAACTGAAATTTTCAAAAATCATTCTTTCGATGCGAATATAAGGAGATGCAAGTGATGGAAAAGATGTTATTGGAACAAGATGGAACGAGAAAATGACTGAAATGTGAGATAGCCTTTTCTTCAATAATTACGAAGAAGCTTTGTAGCGCGATACTAGTTTGCTTGTTCACTTCGTGGGACAAACGGTATGACAGGCCTCATCTCATAGCGCGGCCGAATCTATGGACAAAACGCCTTGACTCCTAATGCAAGACTGCGACTGGACGATAACCGGCTAGTGCTGTGTGGTTGTCTTTACACCATTAGACAGGCGAGGGAGGCCTTTCTCCCTTCAGTTTGCTGGCAATGAAACATATGAACCAATCCACTCACTCATAAGCAGCACGCAGCTGCCTCCTCAGTTTCATTCCAGGAGACATCTATCTGTTTTTTGGAACCAAGTTGCCCCATGGACCCTGGTAGGCAAGGTCATTTGTCCATACTCAGTTATCTTGTAATTAACAACTCTCAGTATTCTTTCAAAAACAGGTTCCAAACTCTACGTGAGCGGGTCACGGGGGGCGTGACTACATCTCCTCTTATGAGGATTATGCGGCGCGCGACTCCAGTGCGCTTTTTAAGCCAAAGCTTGGACAAGGTAACGGTTGTCGACCCGCACTAACCCCGCTCAACTGAGTTAGCTCCTACTTACATAGTACGCATTTTCCATAAGGCCGCGTTCATAATTGCGACTAGGTCCATCCACTTGCGCGATTCGCAACGTGCGACTGAGACTAAGTACGCTCCGCTGCTAATAGCTGTACCGACTACAACTTGCAACAAGGACAAAACTTATTTGGAACTTCGCATCGGCGCAACGTTTAGCTGTGTAGCGCGATAGTTGCAGCCGTGCGAATGGATCGCTCGAGTCGTGAGATATAAACGCGGCCTAATGGACAACGTGGCGAGCGATTGAACCTCTCGAGTAGAGAAATATGAACGCAACCTTATTTCGAAGTGAGTTTCACAGTGATTATGTAGGAATACTTACTTCACTCTGCGTAAGGTACTTCACAGTCTTATTGATGTTAGCAATTATGCCTTCCAATACCGATGAACAGTCCTTGTCCCACACGATCTCCTGGAAAACAGTTGCTGTTTATTGCGCTAACTATGTCAATTTGCAAACTCGTACCATTTAGCTGCAGCAAATGCAATTCCTTATATGGAACCCATGTACTGTACAACGAACAAAGCTTGTACTTGCATAAGGCGATGAGAGGATGCAGTCGGCCGAGCTCTCACTTCTTGGTATCAGCTCTTCCCCTTATCACCTCACTGTTAACATTCGAAATGGAGAGAGTTAGAAGCTGAACAGCCGCACCACCAGGAACCTTCTAGAAATGAAGTTAGGGGTTACGTTGGGTAGTGGGTGGAGCATTGCCTTCGTCGCGAGCGAGTAGCGTCTTCCTCACGTCTTTCTGGGCGCGAAAGTGGTAACAGCCTCTGTGTTTGCGAACCAGACTATCTTGCCTAACAAAAAAGAAGAGGCCTGGACATCAGATGAAAGCGGAGCGCGCGTTTGAAACCACTATCATTATATGGCGAGATCTTGACAAAAAGGTTACAAAATGGTTAGCGAAATGCAGGTGACGGATTGACTGATGAATTGCTGCTGCTGATAAACAGTAGCATAGCCCAAGAGCCAGACATGTCCAGATCAAGGATAGAGCCCGCGGTTAAGGAGATTGAGGATAGAGCTCGCGGTTGTAATTCGTGGGCAGTGGAAGTTAGATACGAATGCTACTGTGCTCATTAACTCAACAATGAAGAAAAGAGGAAAGAAACATCGAAACGCACTTGGTAAGATCCCTGCTTTTACTACATTATGTGAGCATACAAAGACACACTGAGCGTAGAAAGAGGAAACAGACAATGCTAAGGCTAGAAAGTCCACCAAAGATGCGACCTCAGTGAAAAGAAATGATGAACGTGGAAAGCAATGGCGATGTTGGAGACGCCCATCGTGGCAGAGCCATAGTGTTCATATCAAGCACTCGAACTGGGCGAGGAGAAAGGGGGGGGGAGGGAGGAAACACACTATCCGATCGCGGCGGACCCACCTTGTGCAAGGGACGAGCTTCTAGCTTCATGTTGGGTAATCGCGAACTCTACCTTCAGAGCTCAAGAAAACGAGGCTAACTGTAAAGATGCGTTCTTCAGCCACATTAAATGCTTCTTTAGTCGCACAAAGCTCATAGAGAGTTCACTAGATAGCACAGCCAGCCAGCGCTCTCATAGATAGTTCACTGAATGAAGCGTACCTCTTTTGCATCCGCTAGAATGCCAAGAATGACCGCTCGTTCGTCTGCTTCATTCAACCGCTGTGATATGCTGCTCGTTGCAAACATTATTCAAATACAGAATTCAAGAAGTAAAACTGAAAGCAAGAGCTAATCCTACAAGCTTCAAAATACTAACATTCTTCAATTTTTGCATTGAAGAGACGTACAGAACAACCGAGAAACTTTTCAAGAGGTTTATGATTGCATCTTAGCTCTTTTGTTATGTCAGACCGACGAAAGGAGTGTAAGCGTGCTCGCAATCACGTTAGCCCGTTCGCGACAATGCCGTTCATAGGTGCTGAACATGGGGCCATACCCACCATTCTTGACCAACTCCCCAAATGGACAGCTCGATCGCGACCGGGATCAGGTCAGTCAGCTGGTGGACATGGCCCTGGTCGAGGATTGAATCATTCCCCAACCGATATTTCTATCCCAGATACACTTTTTGCGTCAGCTTGTTTGCCCTATCTATGGACTCAGGCACATACGTACCACCAAATCAACTATATTTATATTGCCGCATCAGTCAGGGAGGTGTAAAGAGGCCCGGAATGATCCCGAGGCGTTTTCATTGTTTTCGCCCTGAACCGATCACTATCTGTAGAAATGGCAGTTGAAGGAATGTCCATGCTGCCCCTTCTGACACAGCCTCGATTGATTGCGACGACATTAACTAGACAGTTCAGTTCGCTGCGGATGCTGAGGCGTGTCAGGGGGCCGGGTTTGGCACGGCGCCAGCCAATTGTAGTCGCTTGCGCGCTTCAACAACTGCTGGAGAATGGACTGGCTCCGCGGCAAATCCAAGCACCCAGACACGTCCCAACAGCCTAGCGAATATGTATTTACATATCCTTGGCGCGAATCGAATCCAAGAAAGAAACTTGGACAAATTTCTAGGTAAAATCCTACCCTCCCATTTCCGATTCGTTTCGTTTCCAATTCCATAATCTCAAAAACGGCTGCCAAACAAGCATATGCCAAGTCACGTTCTTTATAAAAGCATTTCACAGTCGTAGTCGATGGTACGCCTTCGAACACAGCACAGATAAATTAAGCCATATTTATTCAAAACGACAAAAAAATAAATAAATCAACCTATGCGAAAGATCAACAGCCTAGAATACCCGATAATCTGCAAATTTAATAAATTGACAAAGTCATTTCAACAACACAGATGCAGTTTATATACGTTGCAAACATGAACTATCACAGTGGATTCAACAACTCGATGCACTTATCAAAAAGTAAATATTGCGAATCAAAATGACGTTACTTACTACGCTTCCTTTTCTTACTCTTTTTATGTTCATTATGCCTATGTCGACGGTGAGATCGATGTGAATCACGGTCATCGGACAAGGAATCGGTAGAACTCCTCCTCCGACGATGGTGACGAGACCTACTTTTACCCTCTGCTTCTGAGGATGTCCCGTGATTACCTTTAGATTTGCGCTTACGTCGCCTCGACTCCGCATCACTTTCTTCAACATGATCGCTTTTAGACTTATGCTTGCGCCTATGCCGATGTTTCTTCATGCTGACGTGGGACTGACCACTGGATTCTGACGAACTTCTTTTGCGCGTCTGATGTTGCTTCGCCTCCGATTCTCTTGGAGTCTTGGCTTTATCCATTCGACTTTCAGAGCTACCACACGGCTTGAGATCTTTAGATGAGCTCTGTTGCACATCGTTCTGATCGTGCGATTGTCGAATCTT